CTCAGGACTAGTAAACTTGAATTTGCTTGCTTAAAATTTCAGTGGAGATGTGCCGTTCGGAATCTACTACTGCCCGGATGGCCGCATCAATGACCGTGCTCGCTGGATACGCGTGCGGGAAACGGATTTGTCAAGAACGATAACATGTTTTGGTGATAGCGAACAGCGTATCGATGTCATCTTTGATATTAGCCCAGCATATACCTAATCATTCATTACCAGGTCCGGATAAAGAATTTTCCTCACTTGTCTCAAAGCGCCTACTGGCCGGGTATAATTGTCCTGTACCGTTCTTTCTGCGCACGTATCGGCACCTCCGCATCCTGACAAAAAAAGGTTCTGGTCACACCCCAATTCTCCTCCCCAATCCTGAAGACGGATGCTTGCCGCATCCCAGCGAATGCCTGATCATGTAGGCAATTATTCAATCACATCAGTTTGTATGTGTTTTTAACGTTATGCATTTGTCAAATGAGTTTGAGAATGTTTTTTGAAATTTGAATAAATACAAGTGCACTGTCTTGGCAGATTGTTCAGAGAGTAAACATACGTAGCTTGCACGAAGCCCAATTTCGTTCAAAACAAGGAAGTTACAAGTCTGTACAGACAGTAATTAAAACCATACAAGCAGCAGCCGTTAGGGCTGACCTATGTTAAAGTCAAACGCTAGATCTTTCATCAATTTTCTGTATGCGTACAGGAAATTGGCCTAGCTTCATCAGCTTTTGAAGAACATGATATTTTTAAGGCTTCCATAAACATGGCATTTTAACCGTAAAACTGCTTCCCGTCATTCGCCTTCTGCTGTGTCCATTAATGACCCTAAACCGTCAATACCGGTGTTCGTAGCCATCTTCAACCATCACTGCTAGTCTTCAATATCTGTCGATCGTAATGTTAACATTACCGTAAACCTCGCTAAACAGGATGAATTTGATGGGCCTACGAAAAGCACTTACAAACTCTTCAGCATACATGCGCTTCACTGTTAACCGACTAGTAACCGTTTGTTGGTGAATTATTTAGTAACTTGTTTTAAAATTCACAGGGACAAGTCAGTTTGCAGACTGTGTTTCATCCCTTAGCTGTAAATACAGGCAGAGCATTGGATGTAAGTAGGAATGAAAATTGCCAGTGCAGCCGCCTATTCGCGATGTGAGAAAAAATCAGGTTTAGATAAGCAAGATCATTATAAATAGTGATATATTGAAGAGCTAGAAGTGAAAAGGAGAAAAGATCAAATTGGCAAATCGGTTAAAATTATTGAAAAAAAGTTGAAAAATGGTCATGCGTGGCAGACATCATTTATTGCACGAGTGATCAGTAAAATAATCAGTAAGTATGGCTGTTAAGTGCGTATCTCGCAATCATCTAAAAAAACCGCCTTCGTCTTCCCAGTCTTCTTCCTCTTCAAGCTCCCACTCTCGGGCATCATAAATAGGCGAAGGTGGTGGTAGTGACGATGTTGGAAGCAGTGGTGGGGGCGGTGCACCGCGACGTTGCCAAAGCGGCGGCGAACTTCGGCCAGATGGTACCACCACTGGTGGTGCGCGATCGGCCAGTGGACCGGCAAGCATTTGCTGCTCCTGCTCATGAAGTGCCAGCAGCTCTGGGCTATACGGTGGCGGCATCTGCGATAGTTTTCTTCTTTCGTATTCCTCGTGGAAGCCGCTTAAGTCCCATTGGTCTGGGCTTGGTTCCGGCTCGTCCTCCGGCGGCGGTTCTGGTTCCCGTATAAAATGTATTGACTGAGGCCGGTCACCTTGACGTTCCGTAAGCAGCAACGAACGTCGGCGAGGTGGTGGCATTGGCGGTGCGCGATCCGCAAGTGGACCAGCAAGCATTTGCTGCTCCTGCTCATGAACTGCCAGCAGCTGTGGGCTATACGATGGTGCCACCTGCGACTGTCTTTTTCTTCTTTCGTACTCGCTGTGGAAGCCGCTTAAGTCCCAGTGCTCAGCGCCTAGCTCCAATTCGTCATCTGGATCTAGAAAACCTCTGACTGAGGCTGGTTCTAATTCCCGCATAATTTGTGCTTGCGACGATGCTGAAATTGGCAAATCTTCTTCGAAATCAAAATCGAGAATAAGTGGTGGCCAATCTTCCACTTCCTTGGGAAGGATCGACGTGAATGTGTACGTTGGCCGATCATTTACAACACTGTCCGCGACTATCAGAACTGAAAAACTGCGTTATTGTTAGTTTCAGGGAAATGAGGGCACAGATTTGCGAAGTGCTGTCAAGTACTCATTTTATCACAGCTCTGCGATTTCTGCGATTCTTTTACATCTACACAGTGCAAAAACGTATATTATGAAAAAGTTTTTTGGGTAGTGCTTTTGTCTACGTATTTCGATCTTCAGATTTACGAGAGCTGTGAAGCTAAATTTCTGAAATTTGATTCGCAATTGTTGATGAGCTTCTGAATAATAAATCACTGGCGACGCGCATCGGCCGGGATCGTGCGATGATGCATTTTCGCAGTATTTTGTGCTGTAATTAGATCACTTGCAGTCCCAGTAGCTAGAATTTGTGGCATATTGGTCTTCGAAGCTCAGGAATTTAACTGTGCAGCTGCTTGGTACTTGATCAGGAAGCATCTCTTCAAAATTTCAGTCTTCTAGCTTTTCTGGTTCCTGAGTTAGCAATTTTACGTCAAAAATTTTTGCGATGCCATACATGAGAATCACACATACCTGGGGGCTGAATCTGAAATCTTTAGGTTATACGAGAGGTGGGAACATCCCCTTGAAAATTTAGATGCCCAGGTTACCTGGTTCCCGAGTTAGCAATTTTCCCGCAAAAAATTTGTCGAGTCCCTACATGAGAACCACGCGCATCTGGGATCTGAATTTGATATGTTTAAGTTGCACGTGAGCGAGGAACATCCCTCAGAATTTCAACGTTCTATTTTTTCTGGTTTCTGAGTTAGCGACTCTTCCGCTAAAACTTTTGTGTGTGCGCGTGCAACGTGCATGAGGGTTAGTACTGCAGCCCTAGGATATTTAGCTGTCAGCAAAATTTTGGCGCAGAGCTCGCTTGGATATCGAGCTAAAATACCCGGAGACAGGCGCTTGCACACAGACATACACACACACACACACACCGGGGTCGTCATAATATGAGTTTTTGCATTTGTGGGTGAACGTGGAAGTTCATTTTGCGTTTTTGCATATGCATATGTGCAAAAATGCAAATGAACTCTCGCGTCAACTTACTTCTCAAACACAGACACGTGGAACTTAACGCCTACAATTTTTTAGTCTGTGTAAAGAAATCAGGCCAGGCCAGTTGGCATGCGCGCTATTCATTTCTATTATCGCATCTGGATAAGTATTAGTTTTGTCAGTATCTGCTGAGGAATTTTCAAAACAGGGGCGTAACGACGTAGCTATTCGTCAGCGTGATATAATCGCCCCGACTGAACTTCTGCCACTATGTTAAGAGTACCAAACCGTTCGGACAGTCGCATGGGTGTCACACGCTGTTTAAATTACTGGGATGCTCCCTCATTGTCGAGTGCGGCTATGCCAGGCCCTTCGATCTTTTGTATTGTTTGATTCTATTT